GTATTCTGTTAAAGATCTGAGATTTCCTCCTGTCATCATGTCAGCGTGACAAGTTTTTCACTTATCTCGTTAAAAGAATAAGGTAAAATTGGAAAACAGAATTGTTTGACAAATTTCACTGCAGCAACACTTTACAGTGATACAAATTTACATATTGAATAAAAACAATAATTTAATAACTCATTATTGTTAATAAATTATAATAATAATACATGTACTAAGTCAGACCTTCCCAAAGTGTGGGGCCCGAGAGCCATTGCAGGGGGGGGGAGCGGTATGAAAAGGGGAAAAAAAAAAAACAATGCTTGGACACTGCTAGCACGGGGCTCCTACACAAATGCAAAGCAGGAGATGAAGCATAGCTGAATATGTTTCCAAATCAACCTTATTCTAAGACAAACACTAGAAAATATGGTGAAGCATATCTTCCCTTTGGTTTCACCTGCACAAGTGCCGAGGTAGGTCTCCCCTGCTTAACTGGTCTTTCCTTTGTTGGGAGCAGCGCTGGGCTCTTCAAATCACGGACAAACAGTATCCCACATTCTTGATTTTTAGTTCACAAACACTTGTTGTAATGACTAACTACTCCTGACATTTTGGAGATGTTAGATCTTTATACAGTAAAGTTACAGTGGGATACAAATAACATCAGGCTGATCCTGCCACGATTTGTTCCCCCTGTCTAAATCACGGACAAACAGGATCCCACAGCTGTTTATGTTTTTAAACCCATTTTGCACAGAGAGGCATTTTTAAAAAAAATGTATTGATAGCAATGTTGAATATTATTAAACAGGAAAAAAAACAACTACACGTAAAATAATTACACTGTGATGCCTCTGCCTTTCTAAATAGAGGGACATTAACTGCGTGTGTATAAGTAAGCGTGTAAAAACTGAAGATAGAGACAAAATACTGTTAATCTGACTATCTGCCATTCTGCAATTCATCTCATGTAAACGTGGCGCACAGCGTGACGTGAAAAAAGCACATACCTTTGTTGCCTGACGAACTCTGTATTCCTCGTCCACACATAAACGCAAAAAAGGAGTTTTAAAAAATCGCAGTTTTCGGTGAAAATACCCGTATAGGTGTGGACGTAGCGTAAAAAAGTTAGCAGTTAATTTTCTTACTACCTGTAATTGATTGCAAATTACTTGTATTTGCTTAATTGCTTACTAAATGGTTGAGGTGTGAAATAAACACTGTACTAAGTATGTTTGGCTTCTGTATTACTACCCTTTAGCTATGTATTTAGAATGTAATTTTTTTTAGTGTCCATAGATATTTACAAATTCACAAAATCTGTCCCAAATATCACAACCTGTTCCAGTATAGATGACTCAGTTTGTTCTTTATTGTATTTTTATTTAGTTAAGCTAACAGTGTCAATTTAATTGTGTCTTATCTTAGTGTCTGCTTCTCACTTTTCCTTTAAATACAAGTTATGGTTTAAAATTGGTATTCCGGTGTTTATACACCACTTTGTATTTAATGGCCATTTTCATAAATCTCTTGCTCTTAGCATCTATTTGGACCTGTCTTCCTCCTCTCACCCCCAACACTCACAGCAGATTGCTGCCCCTCCCTTTACCCTTTTTCTAATTCAGTCTTTTAATCAAAATGTTTCTGCAGGTTTAACAGTATTGCTTATAGCATATAGTTAGTCACTGATTCTTATGAAGACCTGTATGCGAATTGCTCTCTCATAAAAAATAAATGTATATATGTTCATTCCTGTATTGATTGTTTTTCTTAAAGTTCATGATGATATGCAAATTTTGGAAAATAAATTCTGAATATTCTAAACTTAGCTTTAAAATATAAATATTCTAACTCTCAAAAGCACATGACAAACCAACTGACACACCTGAGTCACTCACTTTCTTTATTCTACTCACGAGCGACTCAATCACACTGGCTGTTTTTTTACTAATCACTGTGCAACTGCTGTAAATTCACAGTAATTGCCATCTCCTTACAAATGTTTATTAAATTCACCACACAACTCGACTGACGGACTGTGTTCAGGTAACCTGTCAGCAACATGTCACAGATGACATATTTAGTGTTTATTTGCTGGTTTGTCGGTAGCAGCTCCTGAAAAGCAAGTCACACATCTGTTCGACCAACGCCAGTTGATCTGCGACGCCAGTTAATCTGGAACACCGGGCCGGACTAAAGCTGCTGCTCTTGGTGGACGCACGGTGGAGACGAGGAAGCCCTGAATAAGCAGGTGTAGCACGCCAAATAGCCAAGGGAGTCCGGAGATCATCCTCTGTAACCAGAGGGCTAACTCCTCCTGGTATTCCTTACACGGGGAAATCTAACAACCAAAAGCTAAACATAAGAACCAAGGGACTATTGACTAACCTTTAAACTAAGAAGGTGGACTCAAACCATAATTCAAAATGGAAAAAAAACACAAGAAACTGAAACTGCTGGGCCATAAGACCCATCATCGTAACACAGACTGCACCTCATCCAAGCATACTAGGACTAACACTGCTAACAAATGCCTGATGTTTAAGGGGGGAAATGCCTAATAACTTATCATGTCTGTTTGTCTCCCAATTCCCATTAGTCTTTGAGCCAGGAATCATATTTCCGTACATCACAAATAAACAGTGGAGGGTAACATAATAAGCAAACAGGACGATGTCAGAACAAAAACAGAGAAAGAACAGGAGGATTAGACCAATGTGAAACACCAGCGCAGTGAGAATGTATGTTCACTGCATTAAAAACAGTAATTTTAAGGATAAAATATCTCAAAACCTGTTTTGTTTGAAATTGAATGATATGACACTGTGATGAGATCTAGTGCTAAAGATAATACATTTCTTACCAGTGTGACATTCTCAGACCCAAAGTCAGAGCTGAAAAAAGGCATCAAAGCTAATAATGGCCAACAATGGAGCAGTGTTATTATTATTTACCACTAGAGGGTGCCATTATATTTGGAAAAGAAATTGTGGCAGTTGTGATATGCCTTCAATGTTCAGCTTTGCAAAATGAAATGATAAAGCTGAAAATCAGCTTATTATTAATTTGATGATTGTAGTGTATTGTTGAGCATAATGGTGGGCTGTAGCTCAGGAGGTAGAGCAGGTCATCTACTGATTGGAAGGTTGGGGGTTTGAGTTTTGGCTCCCCCAGTCTGCACGCTTACCCCAAGTTGCAATGCATCTATTGGAGTATGACTGTGTGTGAATGTTAGTTAGAAAGAACTTAAAAGTGCTGGTGTGATCTAGAAAACCTGTTTATAAGAATCAGTCCATTTAACATGTTATAAGACATTATCGTGAATAAAACGATTTTTCCCGCCA